ATTTATATAATTAAAAGAAAAAACATTACAAAATACTGTATGCTACCATCTTCTATATATATAAAAATGAATGTATGTGTGTCTGTGTGTGTGTGTGTGTCCTTCATGCATTACCACACCGTTTATCCGATTGCCATGAAACTTTGGAAAGTTTTTTTAATTTTTTAAAACACTCCCGCGAAGTACATTTATCTTACGATAGATGGCGCGCGTTTACACGAGCATTCGCGCACAGTGTGTTAGATCGATTTCAAATTGTGATGACCATTTCTCCCCCTTCAAAAAATATCTCTATATATGCATTTGTGAACTGTTATTTACGATATTTGTAATAATTTTTGTTTAATCACTTTATTTCAACTATTTTTTGCTAATTATGTACTCGCTCGAACTTTGTTAAAACCTTAACCGTATTCCGAACAACAACCGAAGTTGTAGGAGGACATTCGCCTATTTTACCGATCTAGGATCCCCTTTCCCAAATTTTAATATCGACTCAAAATAATTTAAAAAGACAAATTACAATAAAACGGTTTATTATCCAACTATCAGAAATTTCACAACATGCCAAGGAAGAGAGGAAGCAGCAATTAAATAATTAAAATTATAAAGGATTTAAAAATATATATAAAAATCGGGAATATCGCACTTCTGACAATCGCAGCGAGTGTGTGGGCTAAATTTAAAGAATCCGTGCTTCTCACATGTACAGTACAACTGTATGTGGCCTGTTCACGCGTCGGAAAAGCTTCTGATTTATTCGTGTACGCACCAGACGGAAAAACAAAAAATATCGTGTATCCACGAGCACTCCAATAAATAAATAGAATTGAAACGACACTTTGAAATATTTTCCCGATGAAAATGAATAATAATAATAAGTTTCAATAAAAATGATAAAATGTAAATTTAATTTTATCATTACGAGTTTGCTTGAATTTCGTTTCTTCTGAGATCGCAGCAATGCGCGACGGGTAAGCTAGTTTAGCTATAAATATTTCTAAAATGCTAGAGAATCAGGTTTCTATCAGAGTAGACAAAAGATATGGCTCATGGCTCATTCTCCCCATAAGAAGTGGTCACCCCTTCTCAATTATTTATAACACAAGTGCAAAGAAGAGGAAACGAAGTATTTAAATGGGAGAAAATACAGTATTTAATTAGTTCTCTTTAGTAAATGTAAAGTCAATTATTTTTATTCTTCTTCTATACAATGTATGTATAACAAAGTTCTCTGTAGTATTCCCCGCTTTTACAACGGACATAAATGACTGTATGAAATAGAATTTATATTCATCTATGCCAGTAAACTTTTGGGAAATCGAATGAACACTACGTTGCAATTGGTTCTTGGAGAACAGTCAAGACGGGTGTTGTACACCACGAAATTTAGTTATCATACAATAATTCAATTGTCGATACTTCATCATATGTAGTACTTAAATGAAACGTAGCTATGTGCTGGTTTCTGCAGATGGTTCCCACCTATCTGTTGTGAGGACATGTCGGAGCACACATTTGATCGGGGTCAGTGGATAAAGCCTCTGATGGCTTATTTTTGCAGCTGCGGGTACCACCCAAGGCCCTTGTTTAGGTAACCGACGGTGGTGCTTAGCGGGATCATTGATCCCTCAAACTTTAAAATCATCTTATCTACTCAAATTGAAAAATTACATTAAAACTCTTTCCATCCTGTGGGCACAAGACTACCTTTTTAGCAAACCCACAATAAAATGGCCGAATGGTGAGCCCTGAAATGAGTCAGGTCATGAAACATGTTTTATATGGTGTAACTATGTGAAGTCTGTTGTAACTGGTGTGTTTATTATACGTCATTTCAGTAATTTCTATGTACAGTACCTTTAAAAAGAATCTATATAACTGTATAGAGTAGATTGAAAGTAAACAAAAATTACTGAGTTGTAATAACGACTTTCCAATGCGCTGTAGGTACTTGTTGCACACATTACAAAACAGCAATGATAATATAGAACAGTGTTCCGCAACCTTTTTCTACTTGCGGCACACCCATGACTTCAATACGGCACACCAAAATATTATTACCCTCAAAAACGTATGATATGATACTATTAATAGCATTACGTAATGCCACTAACCTATTATTATTGTTATTAAACAAACACCAACACCTGTGAGCAAATTTTTTTTACGTATAATTTCTTAGAATACACAAAAATGCGTGGATTGTAATAAAGAATAAACAATCATCTTCTTATTTCATGAGTACTGCGGCAGAGAATGAAATACAAGCATAAGAAACACAACTGTGATAAAAATATATAAATAAAATTTGAAATTAACAAAATATGTATAAGTTCACGTCACACCTTCCACCATGTGACGGCACATCAGTATACCGCGGCACACCGGTTGCGGAACACTGATATAGAAGACTAGAGGTTGTTAAGGTCAGGGACATGGTGGGGTAGAGCTAGGGTTTTTCCTCAGGTCTTAGGACTCAATTTATGGGGGTAGGGGTGCTTAGTGTGTTTTTTTTTTTTGTTGTTTGTTAGAAAAATAAATCTTTAAGACTGCTTATTATTAATAAACAGTATTTAATTTGTTCAAAAGAAATTTGCAAAATGGGCACTCTAACTCTGGTCCCATACAAGATTTCGATGGTCCTGCTCTTGATCTTTCACACAGTTATACTCAACAATTCTTAATATCAACAGTCCTTCGAATCCGATCTTCTCACCTTACTTTAACTTGAATAATACGGGAAGTTTAGTTTTTATAATGTTCACATTGAAAACTTATGAAATAATCTTGCAAGAGCATCATACAGATGAAACTAAAGCATTAAATTAATTTCATAGAAGATATTCTTAATGTTTTAATTCAGAAAATGGTTTTTAATTTTAGCGTAATGTGATATAAGCCTGTTAGTGATAAATTATTGGGAATGGTTCATTTAAACTGCGCGCGTGCAAGAGCACTGCCGTCGAATTTTTCGTCGTTTGGTACGACTTTCAACGACATCTAGAACTAATCCATATGTCATCATATGTTTTCGTTTGCAAATAAACGCTTGTTTTGTGTAAAGAATTTTTGCGCCGCGATTTTTCAAAATGTCGAGTGTAATTAAGCAAAGAATGTGCGTTAAACTCATTTATCGCAACGGAATTACTGCATCAAAAACGTTGTAAATGTTGCAGTGATTATAGTTATCAAAAACAAGAGATTTCCCGTGGTACAAAATGTTCGAGGAAGGCAGAGAACGCGTCGATGAAGAACCATGCTCTGGTAGACCATTCACTTCAACCAGCGGCGCTCACAGACTAAAAAACACATCTTACATTATATAAATTATAGATATAATGTATATATATATAATACAGTGTATGTATATTTACAAATCCTGTATAATCCATGTACAAAACTATATAATCTTACAAGTATCCCTCGTACAACACTTTATAATACGGGAATTAGGTATGGATTAGTTGAAAAATTAGGGAATAATCACTAATTTTCCAACTAATCCATACAACACGGTTTCCGGTTTTGCTCCAACACTTTCGAGATTTTGGGAAATCATCCGTACAAAATTCCACCATTTTTAAGTGCAAACTCAGTCATTTGATATTATTATTCAATTAAGCATACGTGTCGTCAAATTTGCCCACGGATTTTAGAATATTGAAATTTCAATTTGTTGTGCACCTTTCTTCAGGTTTACTTTAACGAAAATTGATAAGCTAGAACAATGAAAAAAAAAATTGTATCACAAGCAGGTACAGATGAAGGATTAATTAATTCAACTGCTACGGCGCATATCAAATACAGTGGTACCTCGGTAATCACTGAACAACCATGGCCCGTTAGAACAAATGTCTAACGTTTTTGTTTCTCTGGGCGGCATTGGAAGAAGTCAAGGAGTTTTGGGCCACAAGTATATATAATATATACTTGTTGCCCAATATACAAGTATATTTAAAGATTAACGTGTCTAGATTATAATAATAAGTATTAAATATTTATCACGTAAAAAGATATATTTAAAAAAATTACTTCTACACTTTCAATTTTTACTTAGAAATAGATAAATTTTCATTTGTCTCTCTTACAACACAGTAATCTTACCTTTATTATTACCTTTATAAAAGTGATTATCATACACAAAAGTGTACATAACTTAAGTCCTAGATTTTATCAAATGTTGTGATTAACATAGGAAAGTATCTAAGAGTACAGAAAAATCAAGCACTTGGAATTGTTTAGGATGTATTTCGGGTGGAAACCCATCTTCAGTTTCTGACAACTTCAAATATTTGTTTGCTTACTTATGACTCAAGCACAATTTGGCCCTAGTTTCACAATGATGTAGATCAGTGGTAGCCAATGACAACTTCATGTCGCTGATTTAAAAGTGTTCAATTTTAATAAGAATTATCCAAAGTGTTGTACCAAGACAATGCAACATTACTCTTAAGTTTGTGATACTGCTTTGAAGACACCATAAGAAAAAATATGAACTACAATAAACCCCACTTACTCAGCTAATAGGAGTCAAAGATTGTCTAAGTTAGCAAGGTGTTTGACATGAAAAAGACAGGTGCCACACAGTAGTATTTTATTACAATTAGCTTTATACCGATGTTTTACTGAGCTGGGATCATACTGTTGAAATCATTTACAAAAATGGCTCAAAAAGTTCGTAACAATACACACAGACTTTAATAACTTACCGACTGCAGCAATATAATGCATGATATTGCAGACTTCCAGATATCAAAAACACTTGACAATAGAAAAATTATAATTAACAAGATATTTTAAATTACCTTTTAAAGAAATTTGAGTTAGAGAGTTAATTTCTAGAATAAAAGTTCAGTATTGAATTCAAAAATAAAATATTCTGACTTTTGTCTAACTTAAATTCAAGCATACAAAACATCCTAAAAAACTAAAATTAAAATTTATCAATAATATAATTATTATACTAAAAAAAAATAATATTTGCTCATTACACAAAATGCAAAGTTCTAAAATGGACTTTTATTTAAACAAAGTGTTTATTAAGTACATAAAAATTTTATAGAAAATTTACTGCATGGTTAAGAAAAAAACAATAGCATATATTCTTTTATAATATACAAACTGGATTGGAATTTTATATAAAAAAGTGTATTTAGTTATCAAATTAAGATGCTACAAATTAAAAATGGGGAATCGAGGGAAAAATTTTTGTAGACGAAGAAGAGAAAAAAAAAATGATAAGAAAATATAATTTAGAAATTAACTATATAATGTTCTTAAATAAACAAATGATTCCCCATTTTAACATGGTGTAGCTCTACGTGATTTAAAGCAAATAAACTATTAAATAATGTATTCTGCGATATATATATAATATAATGCAAAAGTATTTAGTCCTTGTGTACTATTGGTCGTCTTTATCTTTGGCACCATGTTTTAGAATACGTGTGAATTCCATGTAGTCGAACATGCCATTTTTATCTATGGGAGCTTCTCTGTACATTTCATCAACCTAAATTAACAATAAATATATATAAAATTAAAATGATGTATTAAATATTATATAAATGAGGATATTATTTAGTTGTAAGAAAAAATAAGATCAACTAAATCCAAACAGTTTAGTGCTACAAATCAAACAATAGTTGACATTTTGAGATAGCATTAATTGAAAAAGTTAATGCTAAGCCAGCTCTCTAGACATTGAAAGGAGGAAAATGTAATTTATACAATTTAGTTTTTTAGGGTTTTATAATTAACATGTCCTATTTATTTTTCCCAATAAATGGTTTAACAATTGAATAAGCACAAAAATACAGTCACATACTAAGAGTTAGAATTTCACATAAGCTCACTCAAACACACCACACACCATTGTGGAACCTAGCACAGGAACTGCAGATACAGCCTACTGAGACACTCAAAATTCAAGCACCTTTCCCCAAATTACTGTTTCTGAAGGATGGATATCATGGGATTTCACATAGGAAATCTTCTCTTTCAGACGAGCCCACTAAAAAAAAGTCTAGTGAAGTTGAGAATTCTTGCAGATCACAGGGTCCCTCTCATTTTCCAATGACTGCCAGGAAAATGATACTGGAGTAGGTTGCCACACATTTTGATGATCAATGTATGACAAAACAACCAAAAAAAGGATTAATAAAAGAAAATTAAGTATATTAAATATGTATTTATTTTGGATAAATTTAGGTGAAAAATAACAATTTAATGTAAAACTATATAATTTAGTTAATCATTATCAATAATTGAATAAAATGCTGCTGTATATAAAGAATGAACAATATACAATATATCTGTATAGACAAATTCAATGAAATTCAATGGCAATTACAGCACTTTCTGCCAAGGCCAAAAATGGAAATTTGTAGTAAAATGAAAATTTTCATTGTTGAAGGAAAATATTTTTGTTAAGATTTTTTTTTGTGTGTTCACAAAATCGTATACATGCATTCAGAAATTGTATGTTATTTTAAAAAATTAGATACAAAGGACTTAATTTTTGGACAGTTTCTTTTGGTTTACAAATGTAGGACAATTAATATCTGATGCAGGCTGTAGGAATATCATTATTGTAAGACCATCCTACAAAAAGTAGGATGCATGACAACCCCACACTGGAGTGATGTCCAACTCACAGCTCAAACTGTGGCCCACTGCACCCTAAATTTTTAGGTATTATTTTCATTTATTTTGGTAAAGTATGTCATAAAAATTGTTCTTGTTTCACTGGATACACTTTAATATGGTAATGATGAAATTGGTGACATAATTTGTAACTGACCACTCAAAAAAGTTGGTAGCGTGATCTGTCATTTTTATTGTTTCAGTTTCAAAGATTTTTGTAATGAAGTGATGTTAGTGATAAAGAAATGTTACTTTTCACCAGGGTGTGAAAAAGAATTCTTCTGTTCAAAAAAAGTGCCATTCTTAATGACTCCAGGCTAAGTTCAATGTCAAAGTGGAAGGGGCTAATTTATTCTTTATAGAAATAAAAAATAAATTAGCCCTTTCCACTTGGGCACTCTTTCTAGTTACAGGTAATAACCCAGTATTTGGTCATGGCATCTAATACCGAAAAAAGAAAAATAACAGAAGAAAAAATTAAATATTTTTGGCCAGAAAAATATTTCTTAATCAAAACATGCAATAATATTGTGTGTCTTATTTGTAAGGTCTGGATTTTCAAGATGCATTTTTAGAATGGATTGGGTGCTTTTAAAATGCTGTATTATTAAGACGAAAACTAACAAGTATTATTATATTTACAAACTACATAGTTGTTTATTGCAATTTAAACATAAATACGAGCATCGTAATTTACAACGTAACAATTTCAATGTTCTTAAAAGTGAAGTTTTCACGTTTGGAGGATAAGATGTCTTTTATATAAAGGAAAAATATTTTTCTATGTTGACCAAAACTAAAGAGAATGTTTCATTTTTACTCAGAATTCTAGTTCAGTGCAATCCAAAATATTTTTCAAATCAGGATTTTTTGATAAACTGAATCTGAGTTTGTCCAGAGCAAAACCATCCAGTACATCAAGTGCCTGACTTACAACATTCCACTGATCCCACATTTCAGTTCCATGTCTTTCCAGCTTGTTGATTTTATCCACCAATAACTTGTATGAATGCATGAAGTAGAGCTCTGTGGTCACTACTGGATCAGCAACCAGTTTCTAGACACTGTCAACGGCCACAGAATCACCAGGAGGAAGCTTGTTGATAAATACATTGATTTTCTCAAAGTTTTCGCAGTAGAATACCACAGTGTTCATCCAAGATTCCCAATGGGTGACCACTGGACTGGGTGGTAATGGCAGCCTAGTTATGTCTTGGTACAAACGCCCACAACTAGGGTACTTGAGAAGAACCATTTTCATTTTTGAAATGAAGTCGTTGGCCTTGCTATTTTATACTACTGTACAGTCGACCCCTCTATAACACGGGTTCCTATAGTTCGGATTCCTATATGACGGCAAAAAAATTGCGATAGTATCCGTACAAACATTACAAACATGGTAAAAAACTCCTATAATTCGGTAAAACGTCATCGGGCAGCCGAACTACTTTACGCCGTCCAGCACCACGCTATGGAGAGTTTAGGCGGGTAAATTGAGTTTACTATCATTTGTACAGTATTATATATAAATTATATATACAGTACCTAATTTATATACAATTATATATTAACTTAATTTATTTTAACTTTATTATAATTATATATATACTTTCCGCCATCCAGCGCCACGCTACGGAGAGTTTAGGCGAGTAAGTTGAGTTTACTATCGTCTGTACAGTATGTAAATTAGGTACATTAAGTCTAATACAGCACTAATTTTATACATTTCTTGTGAAAAACATTTCTTATTCAACGGCCATAAAAATTATTTATATTAATGATATCTCCAAAGTTCAACGAAGTTTTCGCAGAAAAATAACTTATCAGAAATCGCGCCCACCATTTGGTGCACTGCTCCGTGACGAAAACAAGCTTAAGCAATGGCAACGTCAAATGGTGCACACTCGGTAAGTAATCCTACAATTTTTTGTTTATAGCATAGTTTATACAGATTATTCCCAAAAAAAATATACGTGTTTTGGAAATGTTGAGTCGAATTAGTCTAGGAATCTATTAATTTTATGGAAGAAAACCTTTCAAACAGCCGTAGTCCGTAAAATGCATACATGCCGGGCTGTGATTGGCAAGGACTCGTACAACATGGATTCATAAAGAACGAAATGTATCTACTGTGTTATAGGGGGGGGGGTCAACTGTACATGTTATTCTACTCTCAAGTTATGTAACATATCGGTTGATTTGTATCGGTCATCTCACCATCTGTTCATACTTCTTTTCTATTGTCATACTGTTTGTACGTTATCTCTCTGTTATTATGTATGTATTTACTTGTACTTTGATATATCTGTATTTAACCCGATTATGCTCTGGCGGTATCGGGAGTAAATAAAGATATATATACTTTACATGAATATGTTCACATACACTTTGTAGGGCATGGGAAAGACAAGTCACATACTTTAGATTCTTGTAGATGCACTTCAAATTTCAGAATGCTGACAACATGCAAGATGCTTGATCTGTAATGACAAGCCAAACCTTTTCATACTGGACACTATTTGGCCACAACTTGACGCAAACATCATTGAAAGCTTAGGACACTATAGTTGAGTTCATATTTTCAAGTTGGTACATTTTGAACAACATTGGTTGTACAGTACATAGTAACTGGTCAGTGGTGCAACAAGAATATGTTCAGCATGTACTGTTTTATGGAATCCGTTGTTTCATCCAGTATAAACACTACAGAATTGTCTCAGACAACATCCAGGATTTTAGATATTGTTTGATCATAAACTGGTTTCACGTATTTTTTCTAAGAGTGCTCTCATCAGGGGACAAGCTTTCCCATATAAGTCATTTCTCCAGAAATATGCCCTTAAAGGCTGGATTGCTTACCTTATATATTTGCCTGCAGAAGAGCAGTTAAATCTGCATAAAACATATTAGCCTTCTGAGATCTTCTCTTTGAAATGAGGCCCCTATAAATGTCTGCTCAAAATTCCTCCTTTTCTGTTTGCCTTCTCTACTTTTCCAAACTCATATGTCACCAATTTTTGTTTCTTGGTGTTTCACATCAGCCAAAAATCACATAATCGCATGTGGAACAGTGAAGAACATTCCTGTCTGTGCATACGCCTTCATCTTTAAACTTATTTGCTAAAATTTTCAGTTTAGAAAATGGCAAAATTGTCTGCATCTAATGTCATGACACCAAACAAAGAAAATTGAAACTGTTGTGCTTACAAGTCAGGGTAAGGTGACCTCAATACAGAATTTTCTAGATGCATTTTCTTTTCTAAGAAAAGAAAACACATGTTGCAAATTCTCAGTGAATCTGTTTACATTCTTAGAAGAACCTAAGGCTTTAGTCCAGAAAATTTCCCTTTACACCATCCAATCTCAACAAAAGAAGAGAGTAAGCTAATTATTGTATTTTTTTCCCTCATGGTCCAGTTTAAGAAATGTGTTTTTTCCCCCTGAAGTGAATGAATAAAGTCCACCAAAAAAAAGATACTTGTCAACATATTCTTTGAAAATCTAAAAAAGGGGGAAGCTGGGTGTAAAATATATAGTTTGGGTGCTAGTCACCGTTTTAGCGACATTTTGGTGCTAAACAATTTGGCACTGAGTGGACCTAGGGCACTAAAACCAACGTAGTTTGTCTTTTTACACTCTACCCCTTTCAAAAACAGAGTGGTTGCGGCACCCAAAAATCCAGACCTTACTTATTTGTCTTGATAAAATTGCCATGAAAAATTGTGCATTTTCAGAGTTTATTAAATATAAAAGAAGAATTTCCAGTGAACTGTAAAAAATATAGTAAATTTGTTAAATTTTTAAACAAAACTTCACATATCATATTTTCTGATGTCAGAAAAAATAGAAACTGAATTAAAATTGTAAAAGGATCTATTTTCATTTATTTATGTGGAAGCACCAGCCAAATACCAGCTAGAAGTCAGTGAACTTCGAAGCAGGGAATCTGAAAACTTAGAGAACATTCTTCAATTTTATATAGTAGTTCATTTTTTCAAATGAATTTGATGAAATTGTCAAATTTATCTAAAAAATTGTTGTGCGTGTGGGATAGTACATATTGTTGTAAACAATTCTTTTCGTGCACGAAAAACATCAAAACTGCTGAAAGAAATACGTTGAGAGATTCCCATTTAACTAACATTCTTACAATTAAAACTAGTACCATAAAAGCAGATATTGACATAATAAAAAGAAAGCAATGTAAAAAATTGCATTGAATTTATTTTTATTTTGTGTGACTAATTTCTTTATGTCAACAATACAGTATATTTTGTAATTACATATATCTGTTATAAAAATTTGATATTCACATTTTGAACTTTTTAAAAAAATATATTTATATAAATATATCTTTGTAGTCTGCCGAATACACCTAAAATTCTAATTTGGTCCATTAGGAAAAAACATTGGACAACCCTGACCTAGAATTAGTGTAAAGTAGGGAGTGCACCATCTTGTATGAAATGCAATTTTTCAAAAATCAGGGATATGCAGACACAAATGGGGAGAACTAGAACTTACTTTAACAGCATGTGCATGTATCCTACTGCAATCATTGTTGAATGGAAGCATGACAGTGGTTGGACAACCAAGGTGTCATTTTGGATGCAATACCAAACTGATGCTAGGGTAACGATTACTTTCCCTCCTTAATCTGGTAAGGACTGCCACTTGATAATTCTCAGAAATGAGTTTTGTTCACAAAGCCTCCAATATGAAAGGCTGCCTCTTGAGAATAAAAATTTTCCTCCAAATGATGGGCTGGTCATAAGAGAAAGACGTATCTACTGAAAATTTCAATTTTAAGTCACAATCCTCTGATAACAAAATCTATAGGTAATGGAAAGGAGGAAGACCATAGAAATTATGATCAATGCCCTTCATAATGCAATGCATGGTAGTGAGGGTTATTATTCAACTATACAAAACACAAACAAGTACATTTTAGTAGGCAAATTTGCATTTGTCCTAATAAAATTGGTAATAAAAAATTATAATTATAAGCATAACAAAGACTTGTTTGGAATTAAATTTGATTTATCACCACTTAATGTTTATTTGTATATATATATACATAAACCTGGGAATTTAGCTAAATTTTAATTTAAAAAACTTTCTAGATATAAATGGTTAAGAATTATGCTATAAAGCAGTGTTCTGCAACCTTTTTATATTCATGGCACACCCATGACTCGACATGTCTCAACATGACATACCAAAATATTCAAAACGCATATATGATATGATACTATTAGTAGGATTACATAATGTCACTAATCTATTATTATTAAACAGACATCAACACCCGTGAGCAAATTTATTTCACATTTAATTTCTTAAAATACAAAAATGCATGGCTTGTAATAAAGAATAAACATCTCATTTCATAAGTGCTGCAGCACTTACGAAATAACACTTGAAATACAAGCATAGAAGCACAGCAATTGTGGATTAAAATATATAAATAAAGCTTGAAATTAATAGAATATGTAAAAGTTCACATCACACCTTACACCTTGTGACGGCACACCAGTTGCAGAACACTGCTATAAAGAACTGGCTTACAAAACAGATTAATTTTAGTTCAAATATTAGTCCATAAAACAAAATTGGATTGTTTCAGCATAAACAGTTAAAATAGGAAGAGAGACACTAAATGTTTTCTGAGCAGAAATGTATTTTAGTTTTCATGTCATAAGTTATTTTTGAACTTTTATGACTTTAAAACAGGGATGAAACCAGTTCAAACAGAAGAATTGAGCAACGTTTTGAGCATGACACAAACCAATCAGAGTGATTAAATAATGTTGTTAGACTAGATTTACATTCTTTTAAAATCTGGTTTGTCAAAATATGTTATAAATTATATATCAGATAATACAGATAATTTTATTTCATAAAATGGCAATATATCTATCTCAATATAGAAAAATTCATGAGCTGCTTAACTTTCCTAGCAACATTTAAAAATGAATGTGTGGAACCATTTATTATAATAATGATATTTTATTTAAAAACTTTATATTTTGAATTATTATAAAATGGGAAAGCTTAATTTTGAGAGTATGTGTCTTATAAAAAATTGTAAATGGTAATAATGAGTAAAATTGTCATTTAAGTCCAACCTACTTGAAATATGACATGATCCTTTATCTCCCTGATCAGACAATCTTTAAACCACAAAATTTATATTAGATAAATAGCATCAATCCCCAATACACAAAACCTCCCCGCAAAATTACAGACATTTTCAACAAAAAGCAAGGCAGTTATTAAGCTTTAAAGAGGGTGAACAAAATCATGGCCTCTCCACACATACAAAAAAAATAATTCTCCAAAGTTTTTTTTTTTTTTTACATTTCTCAACATTTCAAGGTCTGAAGTCCAAACATAAAAATCTTTGGTAATTGGTGAAAAAAAGACAACCCCCCCATCAGTCCTGACATGTACTCTGCTATTTCTAATCTGATAGTCACACATTGCTATTGAGTTGAGTGTGGTGGAAAGTATGTTGATGATATGGTTTTTGATGGTGCTGAGACATTGGTACCAATACACACTGTAGTGGCGAAAATTTTAACTATCTTTGAAACTGATCATGTTTTACATTCCCAGCTCTGTTATATATAACAGAGCTGTATGACTATCAGATCAATGTGTGACTATCAGCTTAGAAATAGAGTACAACATGCCAGGACTGACAAAACTCTTCCCTTTCAATTCACCTCATTTAGCTTCATTTAGATTTAGTTTCAATAAATCTAGAACTCCACATGTATAAACCCTACTTTTCAAAGTCATAACTGGAAATTACAAATCAGATCATGTAAAACAAGCAAGACATTTCATTGAAAAAGACTGACTTATCATTCATTACTGAAAATGCATTAGACAGTATATGCCAGTCATTGTGAGAGTATGTCTTGAATATACTACAGAAGAGAATGTTCAAATAGCATTGTTTATGCAAAAGAAATTCTATGAAAAAGACATGAAAACATACAATATACTGTATATATATATATATTTACTTACATCTTCATCAGTAAAGCGATCACCCATAGTAGTCAATAATTCTCTCAATCTTTCTTCATGTAAATACCCAGTATTTTCTTCGTCAAAACAAGCAAATGCATTTTTAATAACATCTTCAGGATCTGTACCCTGCAGACGTTCTCCAAATAAAGTAAGAAACATAGTAAAATTAATAGGTCCTGGTGCTTCGTTCATCATCCCATCTAAATATGGATCATCTGGATTTTTTCCTGAAATAAAAGAAATGAAAATAAAGTAAACTAACTACACTATAGCATTAAATCAATATAGTTTAGTTTAAATATAAATAATTAATGCAAACTGATTATAATTGCTAGCATGTTTGGTGTTTGTTATGAATAGGAAACAAAGATTAATGCAAATTGCCTTATAATTATGGATTTTTAAAGTAAAATGTAAAGGTTTCTTTATATCAATTAAAAAAATAAAACAACAATTAAACTGGTATTTAGATATTGGTTATTAAAGTAAAATTTTGTATTAACATCTTGACCAGTAAATTATTTTGTAACAATACAAAGCTTGTGTACAGAGCACATCTGAAACTTTTAAAGTTCTTATTAATTCAAATAAATACTTTAAAAAATGAATTTTTATGAAAACTAAACAAATTAAGCAATTATTTTCATATATTCAAGAGTCACATTAGTACAGTAATACCTCGACTTATGCTACCCCGACTTACGTGATTTTCAAATCTCGTCAATTCGTCTTTTGTTTGAGTGCCACACAACTCTTGATTACTCATTCTCCCCATACTATTGTTCAGCTTACATGTTCGGACGTGTCACACGGAATCGACACATAAATAACACGAAATAAATTGTAACTATTTCTGTGTTTGTTAGAGTCTCTCAAGTCTCCGTAGATATATGTGGTGATTTCTTGTAACCGTGAACGAATCAAATGACGAGATAAGATTAACGAGAACATTTATTAGCTTACATACACCCAACTTGGATTTTACACAAATTGTGAAATTATACCCCGACTTACGCGGTTATTGCTTGGTCCCACCTATCGCGTAAGTTTGGGGTATTACTGTATAGTAAAAATTGTATATACAGTATACAATTTTAATAGTTAAGTAGCAAATAAAAGTTTTGACTTTGTTTTAGAAAAGCCATTTCAAATTTCTATTTTACATTGCAGAAAGAGAATGCTTTTAACCATATTTGGTATATATGCAAGTTTTGTTTATTCAGTGCATCTAACATAACTGATGGGATACATTTCAAATACCTAGAAAAAATAAGTTTAAAAATTACTTTAGACCCTGTCTAGCTAGATTCCAACTAAACAAGTATCAGAATTAATATTAAAGTTTTCAAAAAACAGTAATATGGAAGTAACTTGTTATACCAGATTTGTAATGGCAAGTTATTCTCTGCATAGTTCTCCACGTGCAAGAAGTCACGACCCAATTGAGTTCTAGAAGTGCAGCCCTTTTGGCTAAGTATGCTATGCACCTTTTCCAATAAGCATTAACACTTTTTTGAAGTATCCTGTTCAGTATAAATTGGCTAATCCTAACTAATTAGAGCTCAAACCTAGTTGAATTAGCAAGTGTTTCAATTACCACACTTTTTCCTGATATATTTCTTATATTAATGTGGGAATTCTTAACACACTGTAGTTAAATGAGTGCTACTTGTCCTGGCATAATATAATCAATTTTTTGAAAAACTGAAAATCCTTATTCACATGTAATTTTCAAATTCTCTCCAAGAATATCTCCAAGAATAAGCTTAACTCTATAGAAAGACAATAGGAGACTAACCTTTATTTTCTATTCCAAAAATTTAACTTTGCCTTTCAAAATAAACTAAACATGAAAATGACAATTTTTTGGTGGGAGAGATTTCAATTTTTTTTTGGTAACTCAGATTAATCAAAAGTTCACACCACCAAAGTTCAAATTAGAGACATTCTACTGTATTAAAACAAAATTTATCATCAGAAATTTTTGGCAATGTAGTAACTTTTGTTATTGTAATCTTCATTTTGAAACAAAATCAAATAGAGAAATAAAGAATACAGACTTGTTAAGAAACAAGTAATGTAAGCTTTGTGGTGAAAAAGCAAAATTATTAAAAAAGTCCTTGTATATCCTTTTTAATTAAATTAAGAGAAAATATTATAGAAAAGAACATCGACAAAATTCATATCAAAAAATAAGTATGTAATATTCGTGTTGGATTATTTCAGTACTTGTCATTTAATTCAATATTTACATATACATATTTGTGTTTTATAACACAATGTGTTACATAATTAATAAAAATAAGAAACATTTTAATTTTGTATGAAGTTAATTAGTACTTAAAGTATTCGCATAACACGGCAATTTTTTGGAACATAACTACCGTGTTATACGGGGGTTACCTGTACATTAAAACTTTTTCATTACAAAAACACTTTCAATTATATGTAAGAATCTGGAAAAGTTCAACCTTTAGAAGGACTCAAATTCACAACTTCTGCTTATTGTGTAGATAAATCCTTAGTTGAAGTCCTTCACTAGGATGATTTTATTCCATATTAACCTAAATTTAATTCAAATAATTTAAAATTATTATTAGCAGAGTTCTTTACCAATCATCTTTAAATAATTAAGCCAAATTACTTAGTTTACATATTTCACTGATCATAGGGAAAATAACTACTTTTAGATAAGACATTAAATTTAGTTCATTCCTTCTAAAATTTAGTTTTAATTATATGCAAACTAACTTAACCTAAATATTTTTTATTCGCATTAAAATGCAAGAAACTTAAATATAATCAGCATAAAAACATTGTTTAGAAGTTCAATGCATACCTCAAAAAAAAAAAGTTTGAAAATTATTTTAATAAATAATTGGACAAAATTTATGGATCAGATCTAATAATAAAACAGTCCCAAGATTTGCTAGTAAAATTGAGGAATGGTAAGGGTCAGGATATTTTTTCCAATCATGATAAATTATGGGAATCTGGACAACATTCAAACCTGGATCCCCACAGCAGTATTGCCCAGGTAGATGCATGAAATTAAAATAGAATGTCACTGATATATAGCACCTGACTAGTTGAGGTACAGCATTTTGATAATATTTGTTTTGTTTTAACTGTCATTACTAGACAATATATCAAATAATCAAAATTTTATCTATATATATAAATGGACGCATGTGTCCCTATATTTCACTTTTCAGCCAAAACTACACATCGCACGTGAATGGTGTTTGTATGTGGTAGTAACCCCAAGTCTCCATTCGTGCACTATGGTGGTTGCGTCTCGATAGCTATAAGGGTGCAGGAGATATGGGCTTGAAAGTGGTTAAAAGTGGAAGATTTTCTATTTCAATTTTAAAAATTTTCGAATTCGAATTGGTTCGATTATAGAACGATTGTAAACATTCCAGAAAATTGATCAAATTGAAAATAGTTTGTTTGACTGGACGTAAAAATTCTCTAATTAGTCTGGAAACGGGAGACCTAATTCTTGAATTCTGTGAAAATGGGTAAGATTGGCTATAATGTACTTATCTTAATCTTCACTATCGTTACTTTTTGCCCACAAATAAAAACCCAGCGAAGCAGGTTCTTGCAGCTAGTACATATAAATCTTGAAATTTCTTTTTATAATGATCACTTGTAATCCAAATTCACATTCAATTAATAATTACTGTTGTAGCACATTTTTTGATACAAGTTTTTGGATACTTAATTTTGTTTAGTAATATTTTAATAATTTATTCATAAAATAAATAATATAAAAATTTGACTTCAACTGTTTATACCATTCAAAAAATTGCAGTTAATAATGTAAAATTGAATTAAATTTATTTCAAATTATTTTAGTATTATTCCAGAAAATAAGCTTTTATTCAACATTTTTTAAAAAACAAAATTTATATTTTGTGTAAAACTAATTTTTATTTTTAATAATGCAAATTTGACAAGTTCTCTTTATTTTAAGAATAGGACAATTTTTAAATTATGCCTATTGCTAATTGCAAAATTTGCTGTTTTAGCAAAGCAAACTTTACAAATTATTATTATTATTAGGAAGGAATAAAATTATATATAAACACAATTTTAAAGTTAAATTATATTTAAATATACTTTAATTACATGAAAAATACATTGCCACTCAATCTTATTTAGGCTCCATAAAAATTAACATTAAAATATTCACAAAAAGATTTATTTTTACTTGCACTATTTTATTGATTTAGCTATTCAATTAAATGAGAAAAATTTACGATCTCTTTAAATACATTTTTATGCAAAATAAACATGTAAACAAGTAATGAAATCAAGTTCTGAATAGGACACTTTTATTTACAAGATTTCTGTATTTATAACCTAATAGATGATTAAAATATAGAACATTTGTTTTCTGAAATCATGGATGTATAAAAATTATAAAATGAAATCCTATAAAATCACTTAACTTCAAATTCTTTTCAGAAATAATATTACGTGTTAAAAAATATAGTTTAAGAAGAATTGTTAGAGTTTAACTTAAAAGTTACTACCTAAAGAAGCCAACATGTCATGTAAATCTTCTTTATCAATGAATCCATCCCTATTTTGATCAATCATATTGAAAGCTTCTTTAAATTCTTGAATCTGTGCTTGATCAAACATAGCAAAGACATTAGAAGTCGCTCTCTGGGCACGTTTCTTGGTGGTGCCTCTTCCTTTAGCTTTGCGGCTCGACATGATGCTTCCTTTTCTAAAAGTTAGAAACAAACATTTCAGTATAAAGTTTATTTCTAATAATGATATTCTTTAAAGAAATTATTACATTTTCAATATTATAGCAAATTAACAATTTCTGCAATAGCAAAAGCATTGAAATTTTTATTGCATGTTAGTGCTTTGACAATTGAACAGAATTTATATAGCAGCTTTAAGTTTTTCATAAAATGATTTCATAGAATCATTATTTTCTATCAAAATATAGGTCACGTTATTGTATGACCTAATAAAAAATGTAATCAAGAGAAAGTAGATTAGTACATCAGCATAATCAAGTATAGAATTTTTTTATTTTACATTTTGCTTTTCCATAAAGCATTTTAAAGAAACATGAATTTTTCTTCAAGCTTTCATGTAGTTAAAAAAAAAGACAAACCTAATAAAATTAAAAAATCAAAAAAGGATTTCAGATATATTAAAGAATACCAAGAGTTATACAAATCAATACAAACTCAATCTGTTCCTATAATAGATAACTGAAGATAAATAAAATTCTGACAGCAGTCTCTAAAAGATATCTTTTTTGGATTTTATACACTAACACTGATTGATATAACATTTATAGGTAACCCCCATATAACACGACACTTCTATAGCACGTATTCACTAACATGGTTCAAGAATTGGGTAAAACCCTCATACAACATGAAATGTAATAAAGGATGCTTTCTTTTATACCTCCACGCAAACATTCTAATTGTTTTCGTGGCTACTTTGAATGCTCTTTCAACAAATAATCCATTTAATGGTTAAATTTTACAATTGGGACCCTTCTTTTGCCTCTAAAAGCTCATTTTAGAATTATAGATTCCTCCATCACGATACTATTGATAGTGCAGGCGCCGCCATCTTTCATTGTCATTCCTAAATGCCTACAAGTAGCAGTGCACTCCCATTGCAGAGCGACCGCTATTAACAAACGCACCCAAAAACTGTTACCAGTTGATGATGCTCATGTTGAAATCATCATATAGGATGAATAATCCTCTGGTAAAAAATATTTACTTAAATAATAAATAAGTATGAAAAAAATGAATAATAAATCCAATTTAAATAAGGATTTAACAGCATATTTTTTAATTTTTGAAACCTAACCCCTCTTTTCATACTAGTTCTTTGTTTCGTATAACATGGATTCGCATAACATGGCAATTTTTTGGAACGTAACTCCTGTGTTATACGGGAGTTACCTGTATATATAAATGTTAACACTGATATAACATTTATATATAAATGTTATATCAGTGTTAGTGTACAAAATCATGTATAAAAAAAGTAATATATAGCACTAAAATTTTACTATTTCCTAAAACACTATGTAACTGATCTGTTTGTATAATTTTAATTTATCAATCACCCAGATATCATTGAAATGTTTATATAATTTAAAAATACTTTTAAATATTTAGCAATGAATAATTTTATATCTAGTATATTGATAATATTTAAAGCTTTTTTAGTGGATTTATTATTTAATTTCAAAAATACAGTAAAAAAACTTCTCTAACTCAAACATTTGTAACTCAAAGAAAACAAAGCACTTTGTAGATCTCAATGGAAGAGCATGACAATTTATTTCCAACTTAAATTTCCTTAACTCAAATTTTCTACAAATTTAAGGTTTTCAGGTCCCTGGACACTGAAAAGTTGAAAGTAACAAAATCAGACTCAAATTTTGATATTTATTCTAGTCAACGAAACTTGTCCCTTCTATGTAGAACACTGCAAAACTGTTAATGTACAATGTGGTCTTAAGCATTATTAGTATCCCATTCAACAAGAAATAATTGCTTGTTTCAAAACAGAATGGCAAGTTCTTGTGACAGCACTCATTAGCAGTATTGGAGATGATGTGGTTTTAAATAACACTTATGTTCAATGTAGTATTAAAATTGTAAAAATGTACTTTTTGGTTTATTAATAGTTTAAATATAAAACATTAGCTAACATTTATAATTAAAAACAGTGCTGGAACTAAACTCACTTTTTATATGTAAATCCCCAAAATGTACTTTTGTATATTGTGACATTTTTGTGGAACCTAACAACAGAGTTGCCTTACAATAAATTAATTTTTTTTTACTACTTTGCACACTTGTATAAAATCATTACAGCAGTGGCCATGGAAATGTCACCTGTAGAGGTGAATGCTAAATTCAAAACAAGTTCATTAATAATGAATAAAACTCAAATTTCTGACACCATATTGATGAATAGTAATATCAGATTTTATATTAAAAAATAAATGATTCCTCAAATATTAATGAATTTTATTATCAATAAAATTGCAAGTTGCTGGATGACTTTAAACTTAGCAGGAAATAGTAATTACAGTATAGATTAAATTAGTCATCTTTATAAAATTTTGAGAATCTCTTAATTTAGCTTCATAAAATATGGATATTAAATTTAGTGTATATTTTATTGATAAATTTATGTATTTATTCCATTGTATGCATTGGGAACACATGCATTATAAAATAGATTTCAAATGTATTTTTATATTACAAAAATCATATAATGAAGTTTAAGTTTAGCACAACTCAACTTGCATTTGTTCTCTTCACATCTGATATTGCCAAACATTCTGCTTTGTGTTTTATCTGTTTAACCTTTGTGTAAGTTAAAATACTATTTGCAATTTGGAATAATTCATTAAATGATTAGGAAATTTTAATGTAAAATATTTAGATCTACTCACGTTTATGAAAAGAAAACTATTTTTTTTTTAAATAAATAAATCTTAAACATGTATATCTCATTAATACAGTATCATAGATTCTAGATCATTGTTAAATTGCCTTAGAGCAATAACAGCACTTTTTCACTTTCCAGTGTAAACAAAAGTATAACAAAAATCACCTTTGTACACTTGATAAAATGGTAGTGTAATAGCACTAAGTCTAAAAATAAAAAGAAAAAAGCAAAAATAATAAAATCAAAAATGTCTTAAAAACTGCTGAAAATAATAAAAACATTGCTAATATAATGATTCAATTATATTTAAGTGGTTTTGCTTTGTGCTACTTTAAGAAAGTAAATTAGTAAGATGTATATCAGTTTGTTGATATAAATCAGCAACACAAGTTTGCATACTTTTGGTTCTTTGCACTGTTGCAGCACGACTCATTTCATTCAAAGGTAAATTACGCATCATTTAATTATTAATGAATGTACAGTACAAATAAGTAAAAAGTCCAAAACACATTTTTATTGAAAATGCTAAGAATCGTGCTATAGATAAATATAATTTTAACTTCCCGAGTTGTAATAATGTATTTTTAATGAAGGGATACTATTATATTTTTTGGCATAATACAAGAATCTATAAATATTCAAATATTGTTATTTAGATACAGCCAAACCTGTGAATAACGATCACTGCGGGAACATAAAAATAGCGATTGTTTCGATGTTATTTTATATTAATTTTCGTTAAAAAAGAAAGAAGTTTTTTTAAAAAATGGTTGCTGTTTGTAAGTGCCATTATTGGAGGTTAAAGTGTAAAATAAAAGAGACANTTACATAAAGAGTTTTAGAAAAGTAAAGTTGTATGGCCTTTTGTGCCAGTCACTGGAAAGTTAAAGGAATTTCACGTAACTCTTTCTATAAATAACTTGACAGATGACAGAACTATTCGAATATAACTAAAACAAACTTCGTAAGCTTTAGAAATATTATTGAAAAAGAATATTTAAAAAACGTCACAAAGGAAATGTGTGACGTTTTTTAAATATTTAAAATTTCGGTGATGTCATCCGATTATTTTTAACGATTCTCTTTGTAATTTTTCCTATTTTAGGACTTGATTATTAAAGAGAAATATTAAAAAGAAGCGAATTATCGAGTTACAACTAATTCGAAGAAAACATTAGACCAAACACGATAGAAAATATAAATAAATCGTTCCGTTTATCTCGAATTAATAATTACACAAAGTAATAAATGAATAATATAATACGTAATATAGAAAAATATATATATACTTACACTTAAACTAAATAAAACTATTTAAAAGTTTAAATTTGAATCGCACTAAGCCGCAGTCGGTTCAAAAGTGTTCGATTTCCTTTCACGTTTGACCAACACCCAATCTTCCATATATGGGCATGTCCACGCGTTATTTAGTTGCGTCATTCCAGACCGGTGTCGCCGTCTGGTAGGGCCAATTATGTTTACGTCACGAAGAATTTTAGGACACGTTTCTAAATTTCCTTTTTCGTATCGTTTAACCTTATAAAATAATCAAGCTATTGTTTAATAGAAAAAATTATTTTTTAATATAATTTAATTGCAGATTTAAAATGCATTTTTAATTTTTTTTATTTATTTATGTAATTCAGCCATCAGTTAAAGCGAAAATAAAAAAAAAGCAGGTGGCGATTTATATTTAACAGGTGGTTGCTGTTAATTTAGTCTTTGAATCTCATTATAAGGATTTTTATTAAATTAATTAATTTGAATTAGAGTTTCTGACAGAAAGAAATGATTTTTATTTGTTTTCTGGTTGAAATTTATTTAATTTTTTAATTATTTAATTTAAAAGAAATTTTTTTTTCCTTTTATTTAAATATTAAAGTGAGTAAAAATTCGTAATTTTTTGAATATTATCCAAAAAATAGCGAGAATTTTTCTAAATATTAACTTATCTATGACAATTCCTTTAATGGTAAGCGTGTTCTGACCTAAAACTCTACCAATTGACCTTAAATATTTATCACTTCAGATACTTAAATTAATAATTTGTACTTATAAAATAAAATTTTTAATTAAACAAATAATAATTATTATTTTATGAAATTTCAGATTTATTTTTGTAATATTAAAAAGTATTAATTATATTTTAATTAAAAAAAAAATTGGAATAAAATAGGGTGCGCTTTACCATATGCTGCCATCTGGTGAACAAAATTAAAATTAATTTCTAGAAATAATTGTTTAAAAATTATTTTTAACTTAAAATAATCATTTTAGTATTTAATTGTGTTTATAATTATATTAAATCGAATTATTATTTAATAATAAATTTAAAAAATATTTATTAAAATGTTTATTAATTTTTTTCCTCGGAGCAAACTCAGTATTTAAAATACATAACCCTCCTGTTGGGTATATATTCTTGTCCAACTGTTGCACTTGTATTGCTTTACGTAGACGTTGTACAAGGGCATATATTCTCCATCATTATCAATTCTTTTCCAGCAGACGTAATCAGATATTCACACCACCATTATAATCATCAAACATTAGCTGATGGTACCCTTTAGCAGTCCAAATAGACAAAAACCACTGAGTTTTGTCTGGCTTTATCATATTGAAGAAATATTTTGCTGAAATATTTGTGAGATCAGACACAGAAACTATTTGAGTGTTGATGTAAATGTAAGTTGTTGCCTCCTCGTAGCACCTCATCGTGAAGAATCACTCCTTCATAACATATTCTCAGAACATTGTGACTGTGTTGCTTTATGCTAATGAAGATTGCCTAATCTTGAGGAATGAGGATGGTTTCATTCCATGAGTTATCTTTTGGCCCAGCAGATGAAATGTGGATTCATATTAATGAATCCATACTTCATTTTCTGGAACAATCCAAAAGAAACAGTCTCCTCAGCTTCTAATCGCTTCAGAAATTTACAAGAAATAAGCTTTTTCTTCTTTGTGGAAGGTACTGGGGTTCATTTTGAGGCATACTTTTGAAAATCCGTATTCACAAATGATGTGTTCGGTAGTGTTCTCTTGCTTATTGATAACAGTAGAACCAATTGTTAGATTATGTTCATCAGTCTTTGCGAATGATCGCGTCATCAATCTGCACCAATGAAACCTGTGCCAGATTGGCTTGTGCTAGGAAAATCACTAATGTTTATTTATACAGTTTTTGATATCTTAATTTTTTGTCCAACACTTGCAGAGATATTTATGGGTGTTGTCCAGTGATTCTACCTCATAGGCGATCTGCCAAGGGGAAAATGCCTCCCAGAATTTTCTATAAGAAACTGGTCTCTATTTAGGAGTTGTAAAAGTCAAGAAAACCAGGAAAACTCAATATGAGCAGCTCTTTGGCGAAGCACGAACTTATGCTAACGAGCTGCCCTCAGCCAACTACCAGTGTTCAGTGGTTTTATCCACTCGTCCACTGGTGTGCACAATTCTACCTCGGCAACAAGACCATTGCTAATGACAAGCGTTATTGACAGACTCCATTTTTTTGATAGGTTGTAACAGTCCTAGAATTTGCTCAATAGTTTCCAAATTGACTCAAAAATGGAGAAATCCAGAGAGGGGCACTGAGAGAATCCCAGCTACAATGTCTCCCGTTTTTGTGCCCCATATCTATAATAAGCTGGAGTTTCATCTCAGCCTTTTCTAGTTCTGGATAAGGCCTTTCGTATAGCCTAAGTATTTTGTAGAGAATAAATATAACAATTGGTAATATGAGATATTGGAAAATTGATTTTTAATTAATGGCAAGTAAAATTAGAATTAGAATTTGAAAGAAATTTTATTATAATTATAAATTAGATTTGACTTCTGACAATTGGATTAGAAGTGATCCAACTTTCAATAATCGGCTTAAGTGAAAGCATTGCAGTGTTTCTGGATATTAAATTTCTGTTTTAAATACCGAAACCTGGAGTGCATTTGAAAACGTATTTATTATCTTTACTCTATTTCCCCTGTGAGCATTAAGCGGGTCCGTATGATGTCGGTAACTCAATACGTGAACAGTCTGCCTAGAAGATTGACTCCCGAGAAGACTTTCAATGGTTTGGTTAGGATGGATGGAAGAAGGCAACGCAACACGAGGGTGATCTGCCACGGGGCTTGCCTCCCGGATACTTTCTGTGGAAAACTAGGCTCTATTTAGGTGTTAGACGCGTGAAGAAAACCCGAGGCACGAGTTCGGTGGTTTTCGCTTATGCTTGACCACTTGTAGCCATCATGAGGGTGTCGTAAGACGGAGCCCAACATAACCGGGATTGACCACCAATGAAAAATTCGTGAGACTCCTGACCTGTACTCGAACTCAGATCCTTAACAGCAGCATGGCACATGACTGTCACTTTTAGTGAATCGGCCATCCGGGATGTATTAACTTCTTACCCGAAGTTGAACGATTTTCTGTAGTAAACAGATTAAAAGGGATAAAAGTCATTTAAGATTTTATCTGGATTTACTTGAAGTAATGATTCTTTCTGAATTTCTTAACAAATCCAATTGGCCTAAATTCGAATACGTGAAAAAGTAATCCAATCTTATATTCGTTAATAAATTTTTTATTGCGATACTTTAATTTAATTGGATTATTCTAAATTCGATAATAATAAATAATAGTTTCTAGAAAATTATTCTTTACGAAATTTCGTCGTAAAACGAGCCTTCTACTCTCATAAACCAAATATCAAACTGGCATTATATTCTTAGAATGCCTAATACAAACTATATCAAATAAATAAATAAGGCTTTTTAATGTAGATGGCCTGGAGTGAAGGACAAGGGTGGTTTATCGACCGATCCCGGATCCTCAAGTTGAGGTCTTACCAAACTTGTCTGTCTAAAAGTTTGTTTCTATACGGTAACACGACACTGTCGAGGAAGTATGCCTTTCAGGAGAACTTTCTATGAGAAACTAGCCCCTATTTAGGTGTTAGACAGGTGAGAAAAAACCCGGGAAATTCCACGTTGATGAGGCACGAACCCATGACCAGTGTTCAGTAGTTGTATCCAATTAAAGGGTGCAAAGTAGATGACTCATTACGACTGCTGGATTTACGATTCCGATTTCACTTCCTTCTAAATTTTATATTGCCGCAGATTTTATTATTTTTGTGTAGTATTATACACTTAAAACTATTTTAAGCGTATAATACTACACAGAATTTTCTTTTGTAGGAATGGATGTTAGTATATTTGGGAGGCATAATTTTGTTTACCCAATTTGAAGCTTAATAACTCCTATGCATTTTATCGAAAATTTCTGAAATTTTGCAAGATTTGTGTATTAAGAGATTGATGCTATTGAATTTATTGGTTAAAGGTCGATGGGTGGAGAGATAAAGAGGAACGTGTGTCATATCTCGAGTGGAAACGGACTTAATTACTGAAGATTTTACTTGTTATTAGCATTTAAACTTATTCCTACTTTCAAAATTAAGCTTTTCGCTATTTCATAATAATTATTAATATAAAAACTTTTTAAAGTAAAATCTCGTAAGAGATGGCTCCATACACGTTTTAATTTTCCCTGGAAAGTTACGCAACTTGATATGTACAGTATATATAAAATAGAAAAAATATATATATTTAACTAGTTGCAAGGACCCGCTTCGCTAAAAAGTAACGATAGTGAAGATTAAGATAATTACATTATAGCAATCTTACCCGTTTTCACAGAATGTAAGAATTAGGTCCCCCGTTTCCAGACTAATTGGAGAATTTTTACGTCCAGTCAAACGAACTATTTTCAATTTGATCAATTTTCTGGAACGTTACAATCGTTCCAATTGGAATTTAAATTCGAATTCAAATTCGAAAATTTTTAAAATCGAAATAGAAAATCTTCCACTTTCAATCACTTTCAAGCCCATATCTCCCGCACCCTTATAGCTATCGAGACGCAACCACCATAGTGCACGAATGGAGACTTGGGGCTACTACCACATACAAACACCATTCA